GGAGCTGGAGGAAGTGTCTGGAGAGAGGGAAGTCTGGGCATCTTTGCTTAGACTGCTGCCCCCGCGACCCGGTCCCGGATAAGCGGAGGAAAATGGATGGGCTCTCTTAGGGATACTTCCATCACTCACACCCACACATTTCACTATACAGGTGCAGCTTATTGCAGCTTTGTTGTATTAGTTTGTATTAATTTCACCTAGCTGTACCTAATAAATGGGAAACTGAATGCATGCCAGTGTCATGCTGAAATGTGTGGCTATGGTATGAAAGTGCATTGCTTTTCAGCCTGTTGTTGCCATCCTATATGTGGCTCTTAAATTATATGTAACCTATATGTAATTTATTTAAGTTTCTTGATAGATGGTGTTTTGACCCTGTCATCCACGAGGGAAACCCAGATGTTATCCATATATAGAACTTTGCTCTGTTCATCTTTAAAGAGCTGTATGCTTCACTAAAATTCTGACAATAAGATATTGTACAACATATATGTGGTATATAAGAGTTTTGGTTACTTCATTTGTAATACCACAGTTTTCCCACCGGGGTGCAGAACAGACCTTTATCAAAACAGCCCACTTCACTAACCAACTATGATTCAAAGATATTGAGACCAGCCAATTTTTTTCCATCTATTTTATTATGGACTCATGTTACTTCGAGTAGTTTTTGTTACCCGATTAATTCAGCTGTATTTATTATAGAGCACATCCCATTGGCATTTATTAATTGTCAGTTTTTGATAAATTAGTTATCATTCAAACCTGGGTGTCCATTAAATCGTTGCCTTGTTGTGGTAGCTGTGTTGCCTATCCCTGCACAATACAACCCCTCTCTGCTTCCTCATCATTGCCAGTGTTTCTGCTATCTTTCTCTCTTTGCCCATTTCTCTCTGCCAGGTCTCTCAGCAGCTTTTGACACCTGTCAGAGTCTACAAGTCTTAGCACCCCCCACCTCACCTCCTTTTTTTGCTCACACAGCACAGACACACATGACGTCCGCCACAACTCTCTATGGGCAAGTTCTGTCATGGTCTGTAGATTGGATGTCCCCAGGGCGATTAACTATTAATATAGAGCTCAGGTTACACACCTGATATGTAGGGGGACAGGACAAAGGGAAGGATGGGTGAGGGGCTGGGGGCAGGGAGAAGGAGATTGACATAGGAAGACCAAGGTGGAAGAAAAGAAAGTGAATCAGAGAGAAATTGTATGGGTCAAATTTGAAAAGAGAAGTATGAAGAGTAAGAGTGAAGACAGAAGCCAGTTAAGGAACAAATGGCGAATAAGCTGCATATACTGCAAACAAGCCTTTTTGAATCGGAGGGCTGAGTGGGTGCTCAGGCCCAGGAACCAATAGCAGAGTGATTTACTGTGATGACTCAGGGCATAGCTGAGGAAAGGGGATGGTGAGGGCAGGGAATGTGTGTGCGTGTGTTCGAAGGGCAGATGCCTAAACAAACAGATCACTGTTAGAGAAAAAACATCCATTTGTCTTTAACCACACACATCATGGCCCTGCTCTCCAGGCCCCACCCGGCACAAAATTACTATGCATTCCCTTCAGTTTAAGTATGAGTGCATTTACCATGTAAATGGACAAACTCCTTTGTCTATTCATTCGTAGCATTTAGTAGCACAACCAAATGCTGAATTCCAGCACCATCAGGAGCTCCATCTTCCTGTCCTCAGTCGTCAGTATTTGAGAAGTGCATACATAAAGAAGGTGAGCGAGTGAAACAGATGTTACTTTTGGCTCTGGGAAAATGCGATGGGCATTTTAATAAATCAAGTTATCAGGAAGAAAATCATAGATAAATCCATGATTTAAAAAAGTACTAGTTGTAGCTGTGCAAATTTTGAACCACTTGTGTTAGATGCCTTATTTGGAAGTGGGTTCAGAATATGCATTAACAGTAGTAACCTAGAGGTGGAAAGTAACTAAGTACATTTACTCAAGTACTGTAGTTGAGTACAATTTTGAGGTAGCTGTACTTTTATTAAGCCTTTTCATGTTATGTTACTTTATCTTTTGACTTCACTACATTTTAGAAGATATTGTATTTTTTTACTCCACTACTTTTATTTGATAACTTTAGTTACCTTTCGGAATCAAATTAAGAAAACAAAATACAACATAATCATAAGACTTTATTGACCCTTGGTGTGAGCAGTAATTCAAATTATAAATTAGTTCAAATTAGCTCCACAGCAGCTACAACGTTAAATGTGATGAATACATTGATTCATCAATAATAACAATAATAATAATAATAGTAATATACATTAATGTGAAATGTATCATTGTACATAATGAGTACTATTACTTTGTGTACTTTAAATATGTTTTGATGCTGATACTCATTTAGTTTTACTTAAGTACCATTTTGAATGTAGAACTTTTACTTGTAACAGGGTATTTTTACACCACATTACTGCTACTTTTACTTAAGTAAACAATTTGAGTAAGCTAATTCTTCCACCACTGTAGTGGCTTACAGTATTTATCAGTATTATCAGCTCAAATCAATTAGCTTACTATGTCTGCATTTTAAACATTCACATTTTCCTATTGGAATAGAAAAGCCACTGTCAGTCTAACAGATTTGTATCAGACAGGTAAAGGTCAGTTGCTGGCCTCCTGTATCACCCCAGACTCACCTGTGGCCCTTACACTAACCACCCCTTATAGTATCAACATGAATGCTGTACCTTCTAATGGAGGCAAAGCGCCTGTAAAAGGCTAGTCCCCGCCCTCCTTGTCTTTATGCTCTACCCAACCAACCTATCTGCGAAGTCCCCCTCTCCCTGCTACTCCAATCATCATTAGCTTGTAACTGCGCTTGTCCCGCCTCTCTCAGCTCCTGTGAAAGGGACTGGGGTGATTAATGTTCCCTCTGCCGGTCTTCTATACCCGGGAGTTTGGTTTACCTTGCAGCCCTCACCTTTTTGTGTGTTTTATTTTTCCGCCACTTTAAAAATTATTTTCAAGACAAGTAGGACTTCTGAAGTTTCACCCCCACCACCTCTCTCGAACAGTGTCTCAAACGTAAGGTAAGTCCAAGGCTCTTTAGTTACGTGCGCATCACACCAGGTGTGGTGTAAAAAAAAGATTACTTCACCATTTAGTTATTTTTTCACATTTATCGTTCCTATCAATTACCTGATTTTGTTAAAAAAAAATTAAAACAACAAGAAATGAAGGTGGGGACTGTGTCCGTGCCTCCTGGGTGTCTTTTTACTGAGAGCCGATACCTGAGACGCAGGTGTTGTCGGGTTGTTGTGTTGCGCTAACGTCCGTTGCGAATTATCCCTTAACGAAAATGTCACTATGGACAAATATTTATCATGTGATTTCAGTGGTAGGTTGATTTATCCTCTACCATCACCATGGAAGTCATATTGGCCTGTTTTGTTTGACCAAGGTGAGCTTTGTTATGTCTCCATAGCGTTATCCTAAAAGCCTTTTCAAAACGCTGATTTGATTCTCTGGAGTGTAAGAATGACCCCAGGGCCCGGGGCCACACCCCGGTGTATTCACAGGAAAGTAAATACTGTGGTAAAGAAATCCACCGCGCCAGGATGTACAGAGTTATTATTGGGTTGACTTGTGATAGGAACACAGCATCTTATGATTGCACTACATTTGGTGGCAGAAGTTTATGCGTACCCAAAATTTCTAGTTGGCTTTCCCCTGTGTCCTGAAAGCTAAGGTGAACTAAACTGCTCAAAAAGATTGAGGGAACACTGTGGTGGCCACAGACCAGTGCTCTCTCCTTATCCTTCCTGAGTTGCTTGTGTCCTCGTTACTGCTGGTAGCATGAGGCAGTACCTGCAGCCCAATCAGGTTACACAGGTAGTCCATTACTCCAAGATGGCACAGCCATGCAGTGGCTAGGTTTGCTGGCTTTCCCAGCACAGTTTCAGGAGCATGGTGGAGATACCAGGAGACTGGCAATTACACCAGGAGAGCTGGACAGGGCTGTAGAAGGGCAACAACCCAGCAGCAGGACCAGTATCAAGAGGAGCACTGCAAGAACCCTGCAAAATGACCTCCAGCAGGCTAATGGTGTGCATGTTTCTGATCACACTGTCAGAAACAGACTCGATGAGGGTGGCATGAGGGCCCGATGACCTGTAGTACAACCTATGTTCACAGCCCAGCACCATGCAGTTAGATTGGTATTCATCAGAGAACATCAGAATCAGCAAGTCCGACACTGGCACCCCATTCTCCTCACAGATGAGAGCAGGTTCACACTGAATGCATGTGACAGGCATGACAGAGTGTGGAGATGCCATGGTGAACGTTTTGCTGCCTGTGGCATCACTGAGCATGACTGGCTTGGCATATCCTTGTAGGCCCGCACACTCCTCCATGTCATAGCCAGTGGTATCCTGACTGCTGTGAGGTACAAGGATGGAATCCTCAGAGCGACTGTCAGACCTTACACTGGTGCAGTGAGCCCTGGGTTCCTCCTGTTGCAGGACGTGGCCAGAGTGTGTAAGCAGTTCCTGGATGGCAAAGGTATCGATGCCATTGACTGGCCCTCACGTTCCCCTGACCTAAATCCAGTTGAGCACCTGTGGGACATTATGTATCAGTGCATCTGATGCCACCATGTACCACCACAGACTGTCCAGGAGCTCACTGATGCCCTGATCCAGATGTGGGAGGAGATCCCCCAGGACACTGCATGTGTAAAGGTTTTCAATTTAAAAGATTTGTTCATCAAGATCCGAAGTTCCTTTAATTTTTTTAGAGCAGTTTACATCCCAAAGTCTATTTGCCCTAAACACAGAATTTCTTTTTTATGTATTTTATTTTATTTTATCTGTGATTTACTCAAAGTATAATTATAAGGGATACAAGGATAATCACACCTAGACTGAGGTGGTTTGCCTTACCAGAGAAACGGTGTACTCGAGTATTAAAGTTAATCTTAATTTTATATTTTATTTAATCCTGGGAATTATTGCCCAATATGGTGTGTAATGATTTTTTTTTTTTAATATCCCTGCTTTGAACAAGTCTTCAGTGTTTCCGTGTTTGCAGTACATTATGTCAGTGAGATACTGTTTATGGTAAATGGAAACCTTCCTGTTTTGTGTCAGTGTTGCAACTGCTACCTCTGGGTTAGACTGAGCCTGTCTGACTTGATTTGTATGTGTATGGTTGGGACTTGGCAGACATATGGAACAAATAGAAATACTACTGAAACTAAGTGGTGGCTGAGCTATAGTACAAACAACAAAGTCAGATGTTTGGAAGGAGAGCTGATAGGTGGAATGAATGGGGTTGAATTTCTGGTCTGTCGTTACACTGAAAACAGTAGCGGACTGCCTTAGGAAATATGGGTGACTTGGTTCCTTGTGCTGAAACTAGTAGACCATTTTACAATGACAGATCCAGTGCCTGTGTGTATGTGTCTACGTAGCATTTGGTAACAATGGTTCTGGGTAGAAAATGAAAATATTTTACAAGAGACATGAAGGTATGAATAAGTAATGTGTTCTTGTGGTCATAGTTTAAGGTGTTCTTGTACTGGACTACATTATATTCAGAGGTGTTCTTAAAATTCTGACCCTGTCATATATATATAGCTGGGGAGAACAAAAATATACAGACACTTCTGAATATAATGTAGTCCAACACAACATCACCGATTCTTTTCAAAGCATTTTTTGTTACATCTTGAAATTCTTATTTCATCTGAATGGCAATGGATAAATTAAATGCACTGAAAACATTAAATAAATCTGTCATCTCTGGCCAGTAATTTTACTTGGCACGAGATAAACCATCGGAGGGCCTTACCTGCTTGTCAACCTACTTTCTGCTTATGCACACCCTGTCCTCGCCTGAGCCAAGAGTCTCCCTCAGGGTGTTGAAAGCAGTCAGCTGTGTGTTTACATATGATGCCTGTACTGCTAATGCTTGAGATGTGAAGATATCTATTTAACCAATCAGTTGGTTGTATCCTTTATTTGTGTTAATGCAGATAATTTTGTCTTCCCACCCTGGGTGCTGGGTAACTAGACTCCATTGTTAGTAGCTTAAGTCATGATGCATTGCTGTCCTCAGTAGCTAGTGGCCGGTTCCTATAGTTACCATCAACAGTCTGGGCTGAGAAGTATTTGTAATGATATCCACAGGACATTGCTAAATGAAGTGCTGGTCATGTTGATTCCTCTTCTTACCAGTTAAAGCAAAATGCTGGAGCCTGGAGAAACAGTTGGCCGATAATACGGTTATATAGAGTAACTCTATTTAGGTGCCATCAAGGGATTGTCAGCAGAAACAATAAGGGTGTGATAAACTAATAAGTGATAATACTCCATGATAATATTGGATACAGAAGATGTCTTATTCAGGATGGCAGGATGCTGCAGCCTCTGTTAGCACCCACTGGATGAGAGGGCAGGGGACTGAACAGGTTGTCACTCTGACACACATCCACATGATTACAGTTTGCAGTCCCCCTGCTTTCGTACAGAGACCAAAACCAACAATGAATTGCCTCTAATGTTTGTCAGTCCTGGGTAAACTTGTTTGTCTGTGCGATATATCTCCATCAGGGCCTGAAGTTCATTTTTCACGGCATGTAAGGGTGTGGGGGCGGGGGGTATTACCTGTGTGCTTATCTGATCCTGCTCTTACCTGAAAATGCATTCCGTCATTCTGCTCGGCAAATCACTGTCGGTTTTAGTCTCTGTAGAGATTGCTATTAATATAGACAATGACTGGCCTTACCTTTAAATAGCTGGTAGACAAATGAACACTTTTTCTGTGAATAGGTCAAGAATTTGTTCATCTAGTACAACATTGCTCTATGTTGTTAGCATTATATAAAGAATTTGGGCTTGTTTTATGACACTCGTCTTCTTCTTAGCTGAATTTATAGTTTTTGTTTAAATATCAAGGTCAGATATTTGTTTTATCTAGAGTAAACACAGCATGTAAAAGAGAATCATATGGCTCTCTCTGGACTACCTTGAATAAATAAAGATTAAATGAATACATTTTTTTCTCCAAAGGTCATCACTTTCCTTAAGCTGGAACACCCTGAGAAATGAAAATATTGGTTAGTCATTGTAGATTAGAAAAACTGATGGCGCGCTTTAAAGAGGTTTAGAGTGTTGATGATTAATCCAACTGAGAGGGAGAATGAGTGTATGCATGTAGGGCACAGGTGTGTGTGTGTGTGATAATGTTTCTTTGTATTTGTGTATGTCAAAAGAGCAGCCAGAGGTTTGTAATTACGTCGGTGCTACCCACACAATGCCAGTGACGGCTTTGCACAAAATCAGAATGGGCGAAGGGGTGGAATTGAAATGCAGAGAAGGAAAAGCAAAAGTTAATTAGGAAAGTTAAACTTGGGATAAAATATATAACCACACATGCTAATACATTGTATTTTCTCAGCAATACTCCTCAGCTTGTATGACCCAACTACAACTGAATTGAGGACACAATTGAGTTTACTTCCAGGCTTGAAGTTTGATGCACACAACATAAGAATTTCAGCAATGTGAGACTATTGCCTCTTTGCATCATGGCTCACTGATAAGAAGTAGGCCAGAGTAAGGTTTATAGACTAGATAAAAGTTTAAGAGTCTTGGTCCGGCACCTTTCTGACCTGTTAGTTTATTAGCCCCATTGACACAAATAATCCCCAGAATTAAATGTATAAAGTATGTTTGTATTATAAATTTCAGTTATCCAATAACCTGTGGAACAACACTGATTCATTCTCATTGCTTTTTATTTTTACTTTCAGCCATGCTACTACCCTCATCACTACTGCTTCTTCTTGGCCTTCTATCCTGGAGTCCCAGTGCATCATGGGCTGCTAAAGTGATTGTGGTCCCACCTATTATGTTTGAATCGCACCTCTACATCTTCAAGACTCTGGCCACAGCACTGTACCAGGAGGGCCATGAGAGTCATTTTCTAGTTTCAGAAGGCCGTGAGGTGCCCCCCTCTCCTCACTACCACCTCCAACACTATCCAGGGATCTTTAACAGCAGCACAGCTGACAATTTCCTTCAGTCCAAGGTTAACAACATCTTCTCAGGCCGTCTGACAGTTTTGGAACTGTTTGACATTCTTGACCACTACGCTAGGAACTGTGATGCTGTCGTTGGCAATGTTGAAGTAATGGCCCGCCTCAAGGAAGCCAAGTTTGACCTGCTGCTGGTGGACCCTAATGAGATGTGTGGCTTTGTGATTGCTCATATCCTGGATGTGCAATATGCCGTGTTCAGCACAGGCCTGTGGTACCCTGCTGAGGCCGGTGCCCCGGCCCCATTATCATATGTACCCGAATTCAACTCATTGCTGACAGACCACATGTCTCTAGTCCAGAGGATCAAAAACACCGCTGTTTATCTGGTGCAGCGCCTTGGGGTCCATTATGTTGCATTGCCTAAGTATGATCAGATTATGAAAAAACATGGAGTGAAGCCTAAAGCGGCCATGGCTGACTTGGTGCAAGGCAGCCGGCTGTGGATGCTATGCACTGACATGGCTCTGGAGTTTCCCAGGCCAACCCTGCCACATGTGGTGTACATAGGAGGCATCCTCACCAAACCCCCCAGCCCACTGCCTCAGGTTAGTACTGAGAGACACACAGAGAGCTGATAAGCACATAGTGACACAAAGATGCTAAAAGGTAACTACTTTTTTTTTTTTTTTTTTTTTTTGTCTTAAGCAGCGTTTCACTGTGTATCTCTGTGTCCTAGTTAAAGTCTTGGGAGAGTATGAGTGGCTGATTGCAGATCAAATTCTCTTTCATAGAACATGTAATTTTATATCGTTATCAGTGTACATTGTGTTGGAAAATTAGATGTTAAAGGAGTAACTACTGCAGTGTAAACCATATGGTGACTGACCCATTTATTTAGCATACTTGGTATCATCATATTACCCAACCCTAATACAAGTTAATGTCCTTGTCTGATCGGTTAACCCTCATTTATAGTGAGAGATGATCTTATTAATCTCCAGATTCACAATAAATGATTACAAATATGCCCACCTAGTGGTTTCAGGGGCCACTGTGAGTGCTGGACATAAAAAGATGGCTTTGTGCCATTGGTAACAGAAGTATTGCAATACAATGGCTAACTCGGGTAAGGCTATGCAAATGTGTGGTTTATTTGGCAGGATGGAAAGCCATACTGTTACGCATCACACTGACATGGGAAAAGTTTATCAGGGATAGGACAAGAACATACACTTTTTCTTACATTTAGCTTTTTATTAGATTTCATACATATATACATACAGTAAATGCACATACCTGTCATTTATTGACAGCCTTTCTTTTCTTCTTTATGTATGGTCGCTCCCCTCCTCTCAACAGTCTGACTGGGTTTCTCTGGGGTTTTTTTTTTTTTTTTTGTTTTTACTCTTTTTTGTCCCCT